GAGGAACCTAGCCTTCAAAACTGAAATTTCCAAGAGTAAGAACAAGAAGGAAGAAGAAGACTCAGAAAATGAAGAAGAAGAACAATTGAGTCTTATGATAAAGAAATTTACCAAGTTCATGAAAGCCAAAGGGAAGCAACCCTTCAAAGGTAAGGGAAAGGTAAGAGAAAATACTTCCTTAAATATTAAATGTTATGGTTGTGGTGAAACAGGACATGTAAAAACTGAATGTCCAAATAAGAAGAATGAAGATCATAAAGGCAAGAAATGTTAGGATCGAGCGCTTACCACTAGGTCAAAAGCTATAGCTATTAGTCAGAGCGCAACTCTTTTTACTTAAGAGTAACAACCCAAGCGCCACAATTCGAGTGTGACTCGACCCACCTGGCCTCTGCCACAGGACAATTGATGCTACCTACAACAATCTCCCCCTTAGCAATTGTCCTACGAGGAATCCCACTTGGATTCTGCGCCACGGGACAATTGTGCAACCCGCAATAATCTCCCCCTTAACAATTGCCCACCAGGAATTAGGGATGGCAAAACGGGCTAGGCCAGGCGGGCTGGCCCGCCAGCCCGCCATAATATGGTGGGGCGGGTTGGTGTTTTCAGCCCACTGCCCGCTTTGGCCCTCCCGCCAACCCGTCGAGCCAGCCCGCGGCCCGCCTAATTAATAAAAAAATAATTTTTTATTATAATAAAATTAATTATAAAGATAATATATAAAGTTAAAAATTTTAAAAAGAGAATTAAAAAAGTTTCATTCTCACAGAAAATATTCTCCTTCCCGAAATATAACTTTCTCTCCTGTTCTCCTTATTTATCCTAAGCACTCGATTATATTTATCCTTATTACTTGAATTAAAGGTATAAGAATTACTCAACCAAAAATAATATGAAGTTTTATCAAATAAAAAAGATATAGGTATTTGAATTTTTCAATATAAAAAATATAAATTTTATAAGTTTAACGTTATATATATATATATATATATATATATATATATATATATATATATATATATATTGTTATTATGTAAATTTTATTATTGTTCTAAATTATAATTTCTTAAAATAATATATTGATTTATATTATTAAATTGAAATAATATATATATATATATATATATATATATTGAATTATCGACAAACAAATAATAATCTTATTATTAAATTTATTAAAAAAATATTTTTCTAAATTATGGCGGGCCAGCCCGCCAGCCCACCAGCCCGCCAACCCGCCCCTTGACGGAGCGGGCCAAGGTCTACAGCCCGTCATGACTATATCAGGCCAGCCCGCCCCGCCCCGCTTTTGGCGGGCCAAAGGCGGGGCGGGCTGGCCCGTTTTGCCATCCCTACCAGGAATCGAACTCGTGACCTTGGCTCTGATACCAATTGTTAGGATCGAGCGCTTACCACTAGGCCAAAAGCTATAACTATTAATCAGAGCGCAACTCTCTTTACTTAAGAGTAACAGCCCAAGCGCCACGATTCGATTGTGACTCGGCCCACCCGGCCTCTGCTACAGGACAATTGATGCTATCTGCAATAAGAAATTCTTCAAGAAGAAAACCTACATTGCTTGGGATGATAGTGACTCAAGTTCGGAGTCAAGTGATTCAGAAATAGAAGCTAACATTTGCTTGATGGAAAAATACAATATATCTTCCGACTTTGAGGTTAATGATTCCGACTCTTCCTCAAGTGATGATGAAAATAACTTTGATGAATTACAAAATGCATATGAAGAATTGTTTAATGCTTTTAAGGACTTGAAAAATGAATACAAATCTGTGAAAAAGTGTTTGAATAAATTCGAAAAAGAGGTGGAGTCCTTAAAAACGAAAATTGTATGTTTAGAAGAAAAAGAAGATAAAAATATAGCATGTGCATCATGTAAAGAGTATGAACATGATATTGATATACTTAGCCATTTGCTTGATAAATCTAAGAAGGAGATAAGTGATAATTATAAGTATAAAGTTGTTATTGTTCAAAATAGAGAAAATTGTCATGTTCCTTTGAAAAAGCCTAAAATTAAAAATAGAAGAGTATGGGTTGAAAAAGGAACTAAAACTTTAATAGTTAGAAATGTATCATATTCAAAAATTACATCTTAATGCATGCTTTTATTGTATGAAACATGGTCATACTTCAAATAGATGTAGAATTAAGCATTTTGGTGTTCCTAAAGGAAAATATATTTGGGTTCCTATAGTTAAATGATTTGATTGTCTCTAACCCCAAGGACCCAAAAGTTATGGAGACCTAAGATTACTATGTTCTTGTTTTGTAGGAAACTTAAATCCAAGAAGTCTATGTGGTATCTTGATAGTGGATGCTCAAAACATATGACCGGTGACAAAACGAAATTTGTGATTTTCAAAGCTAAAGAACAAGGATATGTAACCTATGGGGACAACAACAAAGGAAAAATACTTGGAATCGGAAACATTGGTGGTGCAAATACTTTGGAGATAAAGGATGTGCTTTTTGTTGATGGGCTAAAGCATAATCTCCTTAGTATAAGTTAACTTTGTGACAAAAGATTCAAGGTAATTTTTGAAAGAAAATTTTGCACCATTCATTTAGTAGATTCCGAAAATATAGCATTGAAAGGCATTAGGCATAATAATATCTATTTGATTGATTTGAATTGTGTACCTAACACTAGTATAACATGCTTAGTTGCTAAGGAAGAAAACCCATGGTTATGGCATAAGAGAATGGCTCATATAAATATGCATCAATTAAACAAATTAATATCAAAGGACTTAGTTGTTGGTTTGCCTAAGTTAAAATTTGAAAAAGATAGATTATGTGATGCATGTCAAAAAGGTAAACAAGTGAAATCATCCTTTAAAGCTAAGAAAGTTATTTCCACATCAAAACCTTTAGAACTATTATACTTAGATTTATTTGGTCCATCTAGGATAAAAAGTTTTGGTGAAAATTATTATGCTCTTGTAATTGTTGATGATTTTTCTAGATATACTTGGACATTTTTCTTAACATTAAAAAGTGAAGCTTTTAAGGTCTTTAGGGAGTTTGCCAAGCAAATCCAAAATGAGAAAGATTTAAGAATTAAGGTGTTAACACTACAAGAATTTTACATATTAGCTATGACACATTCTGTAGCTATTTTATAGCTAATCTCTCGCTGGTATGATTTGCTACAGATTAGCTACGGAATAGCTATGGAATAGTTCGTAGCTAAATCCAAGTAGCTAATTAGATACAGATGTATTCTCTCTCAAATTTGTAGCAAATTTTGTCGTTAAACTGTCGCTAAATCCCTCGCTAATTTAAATGATGGAATTTTGTTTATCTCTAGCTAATTTGATCTCCTAAAGCTTGTAGCTAATCCGTAGCTAATCTCTCGCAATTTCGCTCTCATCCGTAGCTAATCCCTTGCAATTGCACTATCGCTAATTCATAGCTAATCTCTCGCAATTTCACTCTCGCTAATTCGTAGCTAATCTCTCACAATTTTTCTCTCGCTCATCCGTAGCTAATCCCTCGCAATTTTACTCTCGCTAATTCGTAGCTAATCCCTCGCAATTTTTCTCTCGCTAATTTGTAGCTAATCCCTGACAATTTATCTCTAGCTAATATGTGGTTAATGCCTCGCAATTATTTTCTCGCTAATCCGTAGCTAATCCTTTGCAATGTTTCTCTTGCTATTTCATAGCTAATCCCTCACAATTTTTATCAAAATTCTTTTCTCGCTAGTCCGTAGCTAATCTCTTGCTAATCGGTAGTTAATCTCTCGCTAATCCGTAACTAATCTCTCACAATTTTTTTGGCGTAATAAATATTTCTGCTAATGTATCATCATAACATTGTAATATCAAATATTTAAGATTTAAATTAATACTCATATTCTTAAAAAAAGAAGACAAACTTATCAACTTTCAATATAAAAGTATTGTTTAAACATAGTTAAAATGATGTTTCAAACAATTAAAACATAACAAAAATAATATTTCAACTAAAAAGTTCTGTATAACACAATTAAAAATAGAAACAAAGTTTAAAGTACGTTTTCATTATTGTTTCTTTAAGGCAGATAATAAATCTTTCTTGAAAGACTACATTTCTTCTTGCATTTGTTGTTGCATGAGTGTTTGCATTTCTGCCTGTGTCTTCATTTGTGCTTGCATCAATGCTGCATATCAGATTGTGTCTACAACTGTGTTTTCATCTGCTCTTGCAAACTAGATATCTGTGTAGCTAAGGTAGTGATTTCTTCAGTGAGAGGTGTGGTAAGATTTTGGGAAGAGGAACCTTCAACTGATGAAGATGAAACATGTGAAATACCAAAATCCAAACTCTGACCTATACCATAAATTCTACCTTTTTTATTTTCACCAGCTAGTCTTTATCCAAAGATCAAAATCAACTATAGGATGATTTGATGTATCTTCCCCATATTTTTCAATCATAGCATTTTCATATGATTCCTACATCAAATCAATATTTTAGCAATATTATAAATAAACAAAATTTAGTATTTATAAAATATACACACTTACAATGAAATTTTTTGCTTTGTTAGACACATATTCACCATCTTTCTTTTTATGAACTTTGCTATATAATTCACCATAAGAAATAGGACGTTTGTGCTCTTCTTCCTGTGAAATAATTTACAATTCAAGATCCAGACATCAATATACCAACATCAAACCTAATATTCAATTTATAACTAGTAATCAATATTGATTAACAATTATATGATCAATGTATTAAATGTATAAAGTATGAATTCCATTTTTTTCAAGTGTTGTCCAAAGCTTCTTGATCCTCCTGTGTGCATCATGGCATCAGGCTTGGTAGCCCTATTGGCCTTACTTGCAATGGACTTCTTTTTCCATTCTTCTATTGCTCATATGTCTACTAATCCAACCCACATATCTGTCCTTATACTTCTTGGTCCAAAACCCTTTAAGTCTTCAATATTATCTGAATTTGCTTTCTCTTTTGCCTTTTTCCTAGCGTTATTCTTGCATTATCCCAGATGCACAACGCTCTGAGGCATGAAGAATCTTGGGGTTATCTTTTGCATTTTGTGAATGCCACTGCAACAATTCCTCTTGGGCATTGCTTACCTATACACCCGAATAAAATGATACAATCAAGAAACAAATCATCACTGTCACCATCACCACCTAAAAACCACACATGACGCTTAAGTTCAGGAAACTTGCTTGATTCCTCAATGACTATGTTCTTATCCCATTTATAGTTCAAAAACTGAACCCATCCATCATTAGGCACCATTGATTTCCCATAAGTTTTCAGGGTGTGGTGGAAGAGTAGCTTAAACTTGTTATCATCATCAGTTAATTAAGAACCATTAATTTTTGACATCCAATATTAGTAGGGCCAAGGCAATTCCTATATAAAAACACCACCCTAATCACACGCAGTAGCCATACCATTTACTACACATTCTCTTTCTCTTCATGTCTATCTTTCCAAAAACTCTTTTAGTGTGGTGAGGCCAACACTCTCTGATTCACTCCAACCAAAAGCCAAATAGAAACTAAAAAAAAAAAAAAAAACACACTTCAACCATTATTGAATGTGAAAACAGTAAAAAAAAAAAAAAACAGTAATGCCATTCAAACCAATGTTCAAAACTAAAACTGAGAGTGCATTGGATAGCTATCTATAAATATACACATAAAAAAACATATACATAAAGCAACTAATATTAAGAGAATTTAATTAGAAGGGTGAGATATGACTTACCTGGTAGTAAAGAGTGAGATTGTTTATAGTTTCATGCGCACAGAAGAGTTTATAGTCCATTGCTGATGCATACATGATGCCTCAACCAGTAACGAATTGAAGGAAACAAACTTAGAGATTCTTATATTCGAGAATAATCACTGCAACCTTTCCCTTCCTACCTGCACTGCACACACCACATTTCCGGTCTCACACATCATTATTGAACTGTCACACTATGAAAATTCAATGTCACTTTTCCGCCAACTACTACATGAGTAAAGGAATATATGCATCTTCCTCTGCTATCATAATTTCCTAACCCAACTAGGCTCAAAGGACACACCATAAATATATAATAACACACAAAAATTAACCATTGTTTTTTACGTCTATAACATTTTCTTTTATTTGGATCAATCTGCATTTGCTGTAACATGGTATACGTAATAGTGCTACTTACTCAACAGAACAAAGTTCACTCTAAAAATAATACACAACAAACTTAAAACTATTAGGTAAAAACTCAATTTATATAAATTTTTGCAACTAATAGTTACAGAGGATTCATGAGTTTAATCCTATGAAGAGAAATAATTGGTAAGACTTGAGTTGTAACTGATAATGACTGGTCACAACGCATGGTTCACAAGTCCCCAATTGGAACCAGAGCATACCTTGCTGTACAATGATCTTTTTATTAAACATTTTAAATCACCTATTTTTTTTCAATAAAGCAAAGAAGCTACGTATAACAAATTTCATTTTTAGGCGATAGACAATTAACTATGGATGAAACTTAAACACATATTGAATAAAATCAAACCTCCCAAAACTCAAATCACAGGGTAACATTCAAAATGAAGAAGAGATTACCATGAGAAAATGTGAGCGACAACGTGTGCGAAAGCGGCGCAGGACAGCAGCGGAAGTGGCGCGGGAGTGGGCAGCAGGAGCAAGAACAACGCTGGAGCGGGAGAAAGAGCGACAGGGGAGCGGCACAGGACAACGCGCGGGAGCGGCAACAGGAGCAAGAACAACACGGGAGCGGGAGCAAGAGCAGCAGGAGAGCAGGAGCGGTGCGAGAGCGAGAGTGGCAGCAGCAGTGGCAGGGAGCGGCAACAACAGCGACATGGGAGCGGCACGGACGAGAGAGAGGCAACGATCAGCTAGGTTTGAGAAAATTAGGTATGAAGAAGATGAGAAAAAATTAATTTAGATTTTTATTAAAAGAATTATAAAAAAATAAATAAATTAGTATTTCTGAATATAATAATTTTTTTATTTCTTATAAAGAATAGTTTCTAAAAAAATTATAAAGAAATATTATTTATAAATTATTTCTATTAATTTAAATATTATTAAATATTTTTAACAAATTTAAATTTATAAAAAACTTACAAAAAATAATTTTAAATATTTTAGATATTTTTTCAAAAAAATTATAATTATTTCTAAATAATTTATTTTAGATAAAAACTAATATATATATATATATATATATATATATAATTATATATTTATAGTAAATTTGGTAAAACTAATTTTTTTAAGAAAAAATTGCAATTAATTTTTATTGATATTTTTTTCAAAAAGATCAAAAATTATTTTTTATAATTATATATTTTTAGAGAAATTTACAAGTATTTTTTATAAATAATTTTTTATAAAACTAAAATAATTTATAAGAATGGTTCCCAATAATTTAATATTTTTTTCAATTTGATAGTTGCTATAAATTTGCTACAGCTTTAACTATAATTGTATGTTACACAATTTAGCTAGGAAATAGCTTCAAAAAGTAATATAACTAATATTTATAGCGAGGGATTAGTGACAAAAAATTTTCTAACTAAATTATTTTTCTGCTAAATGAGATAATAGCTACAAAAATATTAGTCTTCTAGCTATTTTACTACAGATTAGCTACAACCTTATTCTTTCACTATTCCGTAGCTAATTAGCTACAAATTAGTGAAAAATAAATTTTGTAGCTAATTTTCCTAGCTAATTATAAAATTTCTTGTGGTGTAAGAAGTGATCATGGTGGAGAGTTTCAAAATGAATGGTTTGAAAATTATTGTGCGGAAAATGGTATTTTGCATAATTTTTCTGCACCTAGGACTCCCCAACAAAATGGTGTAGTAGAAAGGAAAAATAGGTCACTAGAGGAACTTGCTAGAACAATGCTAAATGAATCAAATGTTCCTAAATATTTTTGGGCTGATGCTGTAAGTATTAAATGGTAGAAAGCCTAATGTTGCTCATTTAAAAATATTTGGATGTAAATGCTTTGTTTTGAATAATGGAAAAGATAACTTAGGAAAATTTGACTTAAAAGCCGATGAGGACATTTTCTTAGGTTATTCACTAACTAGCAAAGCATATAGAGTGTTCAATAGAAGAACTTTAAATGTTGAAGAATCTGTACATGTCACCTTTGATGAAATTGTAGACCTTGGGGGAAATCCTCTTAAGTCAAATAAAGAACTTGCAGGTGATGATGAGTACATAAGAGAGGCTCTAGAAGAAATGTACTTGAATGAAAATGAGCTTTCTCAACCAACTGAATTGATAAAAGAGTGGCAATCACCAAGAGGACTTTCAATGGACAATATAATTGGTGATATCTCAAAAGGGGTAAGAACTAGAAATATGACTAATTTATGCATGTCTATAGCTTTTGTTTCACAGATAGAACCCAAAAGTGTTGAAGAAGCTCTTAAAGATTACCAATGGTGCATAGCAATGCAAGAAGAACTTAACCAATTTTTAAGAAATCAAGTCTGGGAATTAATTCCAAGAGAAGAATCTCATCAAGTTATTGGAACAAGATGGGTATTTAGAAACAAACTTGATGAAGATGGAAATATAACAAAGAATAAAGCCAGACTTGTTGCCAAAGGTTACTGTCAGGAGGAGGGTATTGATTATGATAAAACTTATGCTCTTGTTGCCAGGTTAGAGGCTATACGCCTACTTCTTGCTTATGCCTCATTGATGAAATTTAAATTATATCAAATGGATGTTAAAAGAGCATTTTTAAATGGGTTTATTAAAGAGGAAGTATATGTGGAACAACCCCCTGGATTTGAAGATTTTAAATATCCCAACCATATTTTTAAATTGAAGAAAGCATTATATGGTTTGGAAAAAGCTCCTAGGTCTTGGTATGAAAGATTAAGTAGTTATCTAACTTCAAATGATTTTTCTAGAGGAAAAATTGATTCCACTTTGTTTATTAAGAAAGTAAAAGAACATATCTTATTAGTCCAAGTATATGTTGATGATATAATTTTTGGATCAACTGATAATTCCTTGTGTGTAGAATTTTCTAAGATAATGCAGGGAGAATTTGAAATGTCAATGATGGGAGAATTAACATTCTTCCTTGGACTTCAAATTAAACAACTTAAAGATGACATTTTTGTGTCTCAAACCAAATACTGCAAAGAGATTCTCAAGAAATTTGGAATGGACACTTCAAAGGAAGCTAACATACCCATGGGAACTTCATGCTATTTAGACAAGGATGAATCAGGTTTGGAAATAAATCAATCTATGTATAGAGGTATGATAGGTTCACTGTTATACTTAACTGCAAGTAGACCTGATATTATGCATTTTATCTGTGTGTGTGCTAGATTTCAAGCATGTCCAAAAGAATCTCATTTAACTACAATAAAATGATTTTTAAAATATTTAAAAGCAACCACAAGATTTGAATTATGGTATCCATCGGAGGCTTCTTCTAGTTTAATAGGATATTCTGATGCTAATTATGGTGGATATAAAATTGATAGAAAGAGTACTAGTGGAACATGTCATATGTTAGGATCATCTTTAGTATCTTGGCATTCTAAGAAACAAACATGTGTTGCTTTGTCCACAACTGAAGCTGAATATATTGCAGCTGGAAATTGCTGTGCACAAATCCTAAGGATGAAGCAACAACTAGAAGATTATAATATTTTTCTAGATGATATTCCTTTGATGTGTGATAATACAAGTGCAATCAATCTTACTAAGAATCCAGTAATGCACTCTAGAACTAAGCATGTAGAGATTAGACATCACTTCTTAAGAGATCATATTAGTAAAGGAAATTGTAAAATTGAATATGTTGATACAAAGCATCAATTAGCATATATTTTTACTAAACCTCTTCCCAAGGATAGTTTCTATGATCTTAGAAGAGACTTAGGAATATTAGAAATAGTCTAAACTCTGCTTAACTGACCAATCTTTGCATTGATTGAGGGGGAGATATAATTTTATCTTATGCACTTATTGAGGGGAAACTTTCATTTTTTTTATCATAATCAAAATAGGGGGAGAAATTATTTAAAACTTCTTATGTTTCTCATGTTTATTAAATTTAAATGTTTTCTGGTATGTTTAATGTTTTTGTTAGCTGTGACGGACAAAACAGGTTATTACAAAGGGCTTTAAAGGAAATTTTGATCATCATAAAAAAGGGGGAGATTGTTGAACATACAAAGATATGAATGTTGAACATACAAGGATATGAAGCTTGTAGATTTTGATAATGATTCAAGAATAAAGGACTTAAAGATTTGAAGACTTATAATATTATGTAATAACTCTATTTTTATGATTTTGAGTCTGTAATATTAGAGTCCAAGATAGCCAGCACATAGTCCACTCTTTAAAGACTCTAAAAACTCATTTTTATCAAAGACATATTAGAATAATCGATTAAATGGCAGGATAATCGATTATTACAGAAAGAAAACCTTTTTCAGTAAATGCTCTCTGGTTTAATCGATTATCAGGTACAGTTAATCGATTATCAGGTACAGTTAATCGATTATCAGGTACAGTTAATCGATTATCATGTATAGTTAATCAATTATCTGGTACAGTTAATCGATTAAACGGAGCTGTTTTTCTCCTCTGCGAGATTGGCTCTGGAATAATCGATTAACACTCAAGATAATCGATTATTTCAGTCAGATATGTGTTTTGAAATTCAAAATTGGACCAAGTTTCGAAAACCCTATTCCCAATTCATTCAATTTCGAAAATCCCCAATTCCCAAACCCTAATCTCTCTACTTA